ATTATATTAGAAGACTATTGATGGCAGTAAACTTATCAGAGAAACGGTCTCAGAAATAATTACATTAGAAGACTATTGATGGCAGTAAACTTATCAGAGAAACGGTCTCAGAAATAATTACATTAGAAGACTATTGATGGCAGTAAACTTATCAGAGAAATGGTCTCAGAAATAATTACATTAGAAGACTATTGATGGCAGTAAACTTATCAGAGAAACGGTCTCAGAAATAAATACATTAGAAGACTATTGATGGCAGTAAACTTATCAGAGAGAAAGTCTCAGAAATAATTACATTAGAAGACTATTGATGGCAGTAAACTTATCAGAGAAACGGTCTCAGAAATAATTACATTAGAAGACTATTGATGGCAGTAAACTTATCAGAGAGAAAGTCTCAGAAATAATTACATTAGAAGACTATTGATGGCAGTAAACTTATCAGAGAGAAAGTCTCTAGAAAGACGTGCATTATTTTGGACACAGTAGACTATATCCCAAGGGTGAAGGCCCCTAAAATATGGGCATAAGGATTTCTTTGATGAAAGTAGACAAAAAAGAATATGCATTAGATGTTTGGTGAGAGTAGACAAGATTAAAGGGAGTGTTCCAGAAATCCATGCATGCCTTCAATGATAGTTGACAATTATGGGAAGAGAAAAAGAAAATTTACTCAATATTTTTGCAAGGTAATTTTTGCAATTGTAAATTTTTCATTCTTGAATAGAACACAAATCAAGAGTGGAAATCTTACCTTGTGTCGAGTAAATGTGTCAAATTCTGCAACACTGTAACCTAGGGAACCATCGCCATAAATGATCCAGACCTCAGCATCTGGACGGCACAACTTGGCACCTAAAGCAAACCCAGCTCCAACTCCTAATGTCCCAAAAGCACCAGGATCTAACCAGCGCAGTGGACCATCAGGTCTGTGAGACAAAGATGAAGGTATGGTATCACATGTCTTTCTTTATTGTATATTACTGCTGTTTTTTCTGATGTAAACAATTGAAATCATTTGAATGTCATGTCAATACTCGGAAACACATTCATTGTTGAGGAAATTTTGAACATTCAAATTGATAAAATGCAAAAACATTTTTTTATGGAACACGTACCAGTCTTAAATTCTATCGCTTTCAGTACTACATGCACCAGTATATAATAACAGACAATTTCCCTTCACTGCAAGATCTATTGTTTTGCGTGAAGTTTAATATGAAAACGTGACAAACCAACGTGATAGCCTTGCAGTGGCATCAAAACATTGTGTTATTAAGCCAACTGCTAAGAAAATTCTGTTGAATACATTGTTTTTGTGTGGAAAAATCCCTTACATACGAACACCTAATTACACGAAGAGCATAGAACACTTTCCCGGGGTATTTAAAACCAACATTGTCATCTAACTGTAAGGCCGTCGCTGATTGGCTGAACAATTTTTGGTTTCAAATACCCCGGGAAAGTGTTCCATACATTTTGATATTGAGTTATAAAAAATAAATTCCAACTCAAAATCAAATCATTTATCACAAAACAAATCACATGTCATTCTCCTAACTAAATTAATTATGACGAAATTAACAGAATAATTAGCACTACAGATAGTCAATGGAATAATCATGTGATAGTAGATGAAATCAGTGGATACATTGTCTCTATAGAGTACACACCTGACAATGTACGCAGCACTACCAACAAAGTCACCTCCGTCTGCAACTAAAACACTATCACTTGGCAGTAATTCATCCAAGCAGTGTAAAATCTTCAAGGGATTCAGATGTACATTGGTGATTTGTTGAGCTTGATCACTGAAAATGAAAAAAAAAATTATACTAAAATTAATCATCTCCTTTGTATTATTATTTATTCATTTGTTTTATTGAACATTTGAGTAGACATTATTAATTAAAAAGAACACACACTAGTTTTGTACGTATAATTATTTATACCTGTTTGTTTTTTCTTTCTCCATGTCTCTTTCTTTCAGAGTTGAGACCCATTCAGTGTCACATTTGTATCCATCAAGTTTCTTTTGAAGCTCCACAATGAATGAAGCTGGGTCTCCTTGAATTGCAATAGAGGGCTTCCAAAACATGTCAGAGTTCTGGAAAAAAAATGTTACAAAATATTCAGCTATAATTTAATTTCCACCAGTTCCTCTTCAGGTTCATTTCTTATTCATTTATAACAATCATTCATATGAGTGTTAATAAGTTATTAATTAATTATGTTAGTAATATTAACTAATATACCTGAAGATTAATCAATGTTAATTTATCCAATAAATTATGAATTTAATTCACTCATACAATTTACTTGTTTCACTAACCTTGTATAGCTGCTCCATATTTCTATTTACAGCTATTATTTTGGATTTTCTGTTTAGCACCCGACCATAACCAAGTCTGAAATCACACACCATACCTGTATGAGAAGGGCAAACATATAAAAAAAAAATCATTCCATCACATGAAAGTACCTTGTTGAACGAAACAAAATGCCAACAAAAATGCAGTTGTACACTGCTACGTAATTAACTAGGAGAGAATAACAAAATAATAAAAAGATGGTATGCAAGTATTTTTGAAGTTTGTCTACAGACCACTGTAGGAGATTCTCAACAAATGTTGATAGTTGATTTCATAATGGTCACAATCTCAGGATGATATCATTTTAGTAATTTGGAGGTAACAAAAACAACTCAGGTTCCTTAAAGAGATAAATTATAAATCAGGGCTGTTATTCTTTATATTAACGCTTCCTTACCAACAAGAATAACAACATCAGCTTCCTTTAGGGCATCTCTGCGACGTTGACGTATGTGAATTGGACTGTTTTTTCCTAGAAGACCTCTCGACATACCACCAAGAAAGCATGGAATGCCAAGGATCTGCAATAAATAACAATAGATATACCAGTAATACTGTACGGGTCGATTCCAGCTGATTAGAAAACATCAGAAGTCTATACAAAATACTGAGGGAATGATCAGGTGATGGCGATATGTGTTCATGGTGGATTAGTTGAAGTGGTGATGGTGGTTCAAGTTGATGATGGGATGTGGTGATAATAGTGAAGGGGCTGACGATGCTGGTTGCTTTTATTTAGAAAGGTGGTGGAGATGATAATATTGTTGATTGGTCAAAGTAGTTGTGACCATAGGTAGTATGGCAGTGGTGGAGATAATAGGTTTAGAAATTGTACTGTTGTACTCGATCATGTTGGAAACTTACCTCTAATGATTTTCTCAGTTGATCCACTGGTGTTGGTGGCAATGTAGACTGACTTCCTAACAATATTACAGGTTTCTTACATCTACTCACATACTCTGCAGACGTTTGAACTGAAATAATTATAAATTCACTTTCAGATTCAACAGATATAACAAAATCATTTAGTGCTGATCAAGTTTCAGTTTCTCATTACTGTCTGAAGACAAGAGTGAGTTCTTACCTTCAGAAGGACTGGCCATGGGTCTGTAGACAGGTAAAGGACTGCTATCTCTCTCTTCCCAGGCACCAGCATGTAAATTCTTCAAGTAATTATTTAGATACCTAAAGGACAGGTAAATTGAGTTCATGAATGTTTCCAAAAAAAACACAATATGATTATATAACATTTCACACATTCTATGTAACTTTACTTTTTTCGTTAAGACTATATATACTTTTATATCTGTTATACCACTATTTGTCTTGTTGCTATTGTTTGATGTGATGGCTTGTTGTTAAAATTTAAGTGAGAACATCTTTAAAATAGTCATTCCCACATATGTAGTTATGATGAAATGTCACACTGCTAACATTTGTGTGAGAACATACTTTGAAAACTGTTATTCTCACTTCGCTGGAAGTAAGGTGATGTCTCGTTTAAATTTATGTGAGAACATACTTAGGTATAACAGCATTTCTCACGTAGCTGGAAATGGTGTGATGTTACATGAGAATACACTTTGAACAACCATTCTCATCTACGTTGTAAGGATACCATAGACTATCCCAATCCTTTATTTCATAACAAATATACTGACTATACTTACCAATCTGTGATCTTTTGTCCAATACTAGATTTTTTATTTGCAGGTTTTTTGGGGTTTATTTCCTTTGATACAATTTGGTATGGATACAAAGTATCAATTGGAAATTCAACAAAAACAGGACCTGAATTAGAAAGCATTAGCAACATTACAATTTCTGTTGATAGTACAGTGTAATTACTGACTTATTTAACAAAAACAGGACCTGAATTAGAAAGCATTAGCAACATTACAATTTCTGTTGATAGTACAGTGTAATTAATGACTTATTGACGAGTAGTAATACAGCTGTCAAATTTGACTTGACATCACAGAATTGATGTGTAGTGACATTTATTAACTTCTTTCAGTCTGGCTGTTATTATCCTAATTTGCATGTTTGTTTTAAATTCATATCCAAGCTCTCATCACAAACTACCAACACACAGACCCTGATTTAGCTCAATGGTGAAATTGGTCTTCAGACTAGATCATCATTCAGAACTTGAGATCATGAATATTCATAAGTTGATCCCTATGCAATTCTAGCGTCCACATGCCACAATTTTCATACAAATGTGTATTGAATTCTTTGCATGGTGTATCAATGTGGAGCATACTGATTGTATTACATTGTATTTAGAAATACAAACATAATTTTGAGAAGGACTCAATAATTGAAGGATTTAAAATTAGAAAGTATCATCATGAAATGAACAACTCTGATTGAGGTACACCACACAAAGTACAGACTAATCTCATGTCAAATCAATCAAGAAGTTGAATAAAGTGGATCTACATAACACACTTACAAAGCCAACATCAAAAGAAGGTTGTTTTAAAAAGTAGTCAAATATTCAATTGTTGATGGGCAGATGTACAGACAGTCACCTATATGAACAGATTTTTTCTCTTTAATGATTGGATCTCCATGAGCACTGACATCAACAAAAACTCTGGTTTAAATATGAACGAGTCATTGGCAATCTAAGCTGCACTTTTATAGGGTACTGCCCTCTAGTGGGCTGATGTGAAGGTATTTTTTGTTTTTATACTGAACACCCCAGGAAAACTGGAAAAGTTGACCCAAAGTATTGAATTATATTGAATAGAGAAGGTAATTTGATACATAGTTTCACAAAGTTCAGAAATTGATAAGTAATCTAGGAAAGTTACCATTATGATTAAAATAAAATAATGCAATCTTTGGAATATGAATTGAGCTTTCCTGAGTTGGGCATTTACCTGGTGTTCCAGATTGTGCTATAGACAGCGCTTTCCGCAGCGTTGGTTTAATTTCCCGAATGTAACGAATAGTTGCTGTAAATTTACATATAGGTTTAAATAGACACATTTGATCAATGTCTTGGAGAGCTCCTCTACCCTGCAGAAAAAAAAGAAAAAGGATGGTTCAGAAGAGTACTAGAGACCAAGCTACCAGTACCCACATATCATGTCAATGTTTAACCAAACTAACCTTCAGCAGGGTAACTGCAGCCCCACCCATCAACAAAAGAGGTGATTCAGCCATCTGAGCATTCTTGACGGCAGTCACTGTGTTAGTCAGTCCTGGACCAGCAGTCACCACGGCAGCACCAACAGTACCAGATAACCTAGCAACAGCATCAGCAGCAAATACTGATGTTGCCTAACAAAAAAAATACCCCAAGATTTATATGTATTCATACATGTTAGAGTTAGTGAACTTCATTGAGTCATTTGATTGGATGCGCCAAGAAGCTGGCGCCACCAATCAGAGTTGCTTTATCATAAATGTGAAGATCGGCGAGCTCATCACAGATTAAAACAATGGCGGTGTGTAGTCTTTGCGCTGATTCAGTCTGAATCAAGAACAGAAGGACTATATTCGTTGACACGTTTCCAAAATTTCCTATTCCAACGTTGAAAATTGTTTGTGGGCAAGTGAATGAGGATGATGTAATGTCTAAATATTTGTGCAAACTGTGTTTGAGTAAACTGAAAAAAATTTCAAAACTGATAACATATCAACTTGCCAGATTCGGTCTTCACGTCATTATTCTCAGATACAGCACGAAGCGCTTTCTTTTGATGAACAGTTAGCTCGTTCAGAGAAAAAACTAGCAACACGTTTGTTTGATTCCACAAATGTAGTTTCTTTTGTGAGTTCTAATTGGGTGATGCAAATGAGCCGAAGTGAATCTTATAATCATTTGAAGGCGTGCAACATTTAATGTTGAAGCTTCAACTGAATAAATGGTCCTTGGCTTGCAAAGATGAGAGAATAAAGGCATGAATTTCAAATAATAATTCAAATCATTATAACCAATCACAAAGTGTTAATAGATGTATGGCAGTAAATCAGCCAATGATTGAAAGAAAACATCAAAGACTCATGGGTAATACACCATACCACATGTAGTGTCAGCTGTCTACTGTGTACGCTGTTAGTCATACAACAAATTAGTTTCAAGTGTATATCAAATCCTTCCTGAAACATCAATTGTGGCATCATTAGCAAAAATAAAGTATGCGAAAAAGTTTCTTGGCTGAAAAATTACCTAAAAATGGTGGCTTTGGAGCATAAGAATGTCAGAATCAGAGAACAAATCGTATGTTATCTATGGATGGACAGGTGATCCATTGCTACATTCTGGGCTTGAATTTCTTGAAGGTATTGAAGGCTATTGCCTCAATCCTCAAAATGTTTGCCTCAATGTCCTTAAAAAAAATAGAATGTCCTGATACTATTTATATACATCAAGAAATTTTTATAAAATTTAGCCTTAAAAATGAGTGCAGTCAAACCCTGTACATTCTATTTCAATCATTAATTTATATGTTAGATATAAATTACTGTTTATTTTAGAATTGTTAGTCACTTGAACATTCCATTGTTTTAACTAAAATAATATACTTTGGTGAACTTTTTCATAATTTGATTTGACTTAACATAGATGTATGTAGGCAAGAATAAAATATACTTCTTTCATTTTATTTGTGTCTCTTTCTTTGTTTCCCAGCCATACTTGACTTACTTCATGTCTGACATCAACAACTCGTATACCGGCTTTCTCTGCTCCAACTAATACAGGAGACACATGACCACCACACAAAGTAAATAGATACTTTATACCGTGAGACTTCAGAACTTCAGCCACCAATTCACCTCCATTGCGTGTCGATGTCTCATCAACCTGTAACAAAAATCAAATTATATACTCAAATTCCAATGATACAAGAAATAGATTTTTTTTTCTCGCAATACCCTGTACACGGTCACTCATTGTACCAATCGCCAATATAGTTTTTGTGAAATTAATAACTGGATTTGTTTTGCGTTCGGTCGCTAGGGGGCAGTATATGGGCCGTGGGCTATGTCCACACATGACTCGAAATTTGAATACGCAGTTCACTAATACACACGATGATTCTAAATCATACGATACACAAAAATGAACAACATTCAAAGGAAGAAACAACACATGTGCCCTGTTATCTCCACTGATATAACGCATTAAGGTCACTGTGTCTGGGGACCAAGTCAAATAAGATTACGAATATTAAAAACATAAATAGTATTAGTAACTTACCTTATGAAAGAATTGATAAACTATTCCAAGACGTTGTATACATACGTAAATTGCGTACACTGCGGCAGCTATTAACAAAAATATCACCGACGAAACGATATCTGACCTATCCATTCCGACCATCTTGATGATCAACAACCTTTGACACAGCTCTCCTATCATGAACACTGAGGGCGCTTAATAACATTATCAGAACCACAATAACATTTGTTGCGATCGTTACGACGTGTTAACAAATTATATGTTAGACCACTTCCTCGGCTTGGGATTGGACTTATGACAAGTTTAAGCTATTGTGAGACGCCAATTGAAACGTTTAGTCCAATGGAATGTTGATATTTTGCGATGAATGCTCGCTCACAACTGTTCGAACTGGTAAGTATAAGACATAGAGAAAAATAGAAAAATGACATAAAATGGAACGGAAATATTTCTATAGGATATTGTCCACGTGACGTCGCATAGCACCGACATCGTTTTATTTTGACGGTCTGGTTAATGCAACTATGAGTTGCGTAGGAAACACAGATCAAAACCATAGCATTAAAGATGGCCGCTTCGATTCAGCTCGGCTTTAACGTCATTGATAAGTTGACGACTGCTTGAATTCATTATTGTTATTATTTAGCACGTTGTCTTACCCGTTATATTTTTAATCTTCTTTGAATGTGCCAACATCTTTTCATACAACACTTTGCATGATTTTTTTTCTTTTCTCTATTCTATTCTATTCTATTCTATTCTATTCTATTCTATTCTATTCTATTCTATTCTATTCTATTCTATTCTATTCTTCTAACTTAATAAACATTTATTAAAAACAAACTATACATGTTAATGCCAGGTTTGTGAAAAGAATGACTGTATGAATACCAACGAATTTATGATTACAGTGTTTGCTCTGTTAATACATGTAGGGCATGTACTTATGGGCACGGATCTAGAAGCCGTACCTACACACAAATTGGTGACGTCACAAAATACATGACCTTCAATCGGGGTCGTTTCCTCGGTATATACGAATTGGTATATACAAATTACAATAAAGATACTTAAGACATTACACATAAGGTAAAACAAATCATGTGACAATATAATGATAATAACGGTAATAAATCCTAGCTTAACAGTTGAACAGAATGATCATATAGTCAGTCGGGTGACGCCGAGGGTTACGCACTTGTTGCAAAATGGCCGTGTGGTTGAAACTGGGTCATGGCGTGACGGGCGAGGAAGACATCATTAAACACTCTCAAAATCAGAATAAAACGGCGAAGTGGTTGCATGTTACGGCGTAGCCAACATGGGAAATAAAAAAACGCTCAATACAAACGACATGGGTTCGAATAACACGAGATACACACTCACCAGAACCAAAGCAATCAGAAACGAGCAATCGTTTTGGCTTTTCCGTTCAACTCATCGGAACACTGGAGTAGTTAGAAAAATGACACCACTTAACGACCAACGTCGTGGCGTGGTACACAAGCGTGCCCTCAAAATAAAACAAAATTAGCTTGAAAAGACAGTGGGTTCGAGTCCCGCTCAGAGCTACCGTAAAAACGTAAATCAAATAAACTGAAATCTCTCAAACCGTAAACAAGTAAGCAAAGAACGTCGCGAAAAAATAATAAACCTCACAAAACTCCACCATACAAAACTGAATGAATAAATAATAAAATAACTTACGTCTTAAACTGGACGACGAGCAATTTGTTCAACAAGCAATTTGTTTCCAGTCACAAGAGATAAACAAGACCCAAGTCAAGGTAAGTTTTGTTAAAGTGTCGATGGCGTTCCCTATATTACGAAAACAATTCAGGCAACAGACGAATATCTTCTGTGGTGTTGTGGAATTTATACTGTGTCTGCGGAATTGTTGATTGAGGGTTCGAAGTCAGCAGTTAACATTTTGTTAGAAAGTTTCACAATTAAATCAAATATTCAATGATACCAGTATATTTATTTCATTATTTTAACAACTTGCAATGGTGTTAGTTGGTCAAACACGAGTTCTTACACTTAAATAAGTATCAAATATTAATTAAAATCTGTGCATTGTATTTATTAATCACACTTCAATATACGATTAATTAAAATCTGTGCAATGTAAAAAAAAAAAAAAAAAAAGTATCAAATATTTATCCACACATTTATTCTCTCAATTTAACAACCTTGTAGAGGTGGAAATTAATTAAACAACAGGTATTTACTCACAAATATAATGGTCAATATTTGTCCATACATTCATTCTGTCAATTTAAGAACTTTTAAATGTTGGAATTAATCAAATGAGAGTTGTCTACACCAAAATAAGTTTCAAA